TGCAAATGATGTCACAGTTGAATTGACACACTTTTTTTCTTTCCAGTCATATGCTTTGGAAAAATTAATACGTAACCATTTTGGAACAACAACAATTAGTAAAAGCAAAAGGTAACAAGGAAAAGAAACATTTATCCACTGGCGTATTTGAGTGTTTGAGTAAGCTCAGCTGATTTGTTTAAAGTCAAAAATTTTTAAAATCTTAGTCATTGATTGAAGAGGAAAAAGTTTTACTTATGAACTGTTAGGCTATGTTGTCTCATATTTTTTTTCAAACATAACTATTAAAAGCACGGAAAGAACAATAAACAATAAGTGAAAAATCAGCACATTGATACATAGAAAGTGAGATTTTACACGTCTTAAAATACGCCTTGATATATTTCCACTTTTTTCTGTCGCATCTCCTTCGGTTCAAATAAATGGTTGAAGGCGGAACGGTGAAAATAATTGCTTCTTGAGCCCTGCATTTTGTTGTTATATTTTACGCCCTCAAATAATATTGTTTCTTCTTCTTCTTTTTTTTTTGTTTTGTGCTTTAAGTGCTAAAGACACCTTTCAGCGCCTCGTTGTTGTATAATTTTTGCCTATTGATGGGGGCAAACGAAAAGACGAAAGAAAAAAATTAACCATTGCCCAGTTTCATTATTTGTGTTCCAAAAAATTTTGATGCCTTTCATAAAGAGGAAGAATTTTTTGCTCACCCTTGCCATCTATAAAAAGAGGTGATCAAAAAATATGGCAGTATTAAGACCTACAAAGTGTACGGCATGTATGCCAAACTAGAATCCTAAAAGTTGTAGAAAAAATACATGGGCATCTTTGACGATGAATAGAAGCAAGCCAGAAATTCTGAACGCTAAAAAAAAAAGGAAAAAAGTCAGTCCCCGAAGATGATGAAAATCTGAATTTGTCAAATATTTTAAGCAAAAAAGGTTACTGAAGTTTTTGTTCGAGCTCTGGTTGTTAGCCTTACACTAAAAACTACAGGTTTTGGTGCTGTTAACAAGTTATTCTAGTAATCTTACTCCATACTCTCAGTTCAGGTAATCTTTATAACTTACTGGAAAAAATTTTGGTGGAACTGCTGATGTGCACTGAAAGAAATGCATGCTGCTTTGATACATTAGAAAATGAAGCCTTTTCTTAGAGGTTACTGAGACGGCAGCGAACAACCTTAATAAATTCAGTACAACTGAAGCACTTTC